AGGATCGACTCTAATTCTAGCATAGTGTCAGTGAAACGCACGTGATGTGGCCTCCTATTTGTCAAACTTCCAAGGAGAATTTTAGTAACTAAATTGTTACAGCCGGTAACATGTGTACTAACGTGTGGGTCCCGATTCTCACCCCAGACACATATCATCTCACGTTCCAGCTTATATCGCTGCATTTCTTTTTTTATTTGTTTTTCATAAACCAAATCATCCGAGGTATTCTGGCTTAGGTCCATTTCTGTTATCGTGTTTGGAGAACTCGCATAAAGTAATTCGTCACTAACTTTTGGGGTTAATTCTCGTACTTTCTTTTTTCCTTTGTAATTCGACGTCATCGTAGACCGGGTAACACGTTTGTCGATCAAAACACGATACCAAAGAATGGATTTGTGTACAAATAAACGACAAGATTGGTATAGGTATAGGATAATTGGAAGTTTTGTGCGTGTAATGCTTAACGAACGTAAAGATCGTAAATTTATACTTTTGGGGATAGTAATTAGCAGAAAGTGAAGATCCTAATTCTCGAATTCAATATTTAGTGATTTGTTTATCAGGCAAATCAACCAATTAAATTGTTGGATTCTTGCACAGTACGTAAATCATAAGTACTTAATGCAATTTTGGTGAGTAATAATGTACTGTATGTATCGCTAGGAAAACTGATAAAATAAATCAATTGTTTTAGTTTTTGTTTAATGGTTTGTTGACATTAACATGGGCAATTATCTTTGAAGAGCGACGAAAGATTTTCAGTCATTATTGTTTAAATAATACGTATACAATGAAATAATTACCCATATATAAAATGTTATAAAGGTCAACGTTTTCCCATGAATCCGCACCTTTATGTGTTTCGTGAAAAAAAAATCCAACAAACTCATGGAATTGGGAACCACTATCTTACAAAAATGAGTCAACGCCAAATGTGTTGAAGTCGTCATTATGCTCACATCAAATTTATTCAGATAAAACATCAAATTTGTGTAACGATAAGGACTCTTGCATGAATAATATCTAACATCTGACAATAATATACAAGCCTAAAATTATCAATTAATTACCATAATTTATAAGAATTTAATTATATATATAATATTTTAAATAACAATTAATATTTATCAAATATATATATATATATAAAGATACAATATTTTTAAATTCAAAAACAATATATTTATTATATACTGTATATAAATAATAAATTAAATATAAAATAAATAAATAAATAAATAAATAAATAACTTTTCAAACACATTAATTTATAAAAAATTCACTTTTTGAATAATAGCAAAAAAACATTAATTAGAAATAATTTAAAAAAATAAATATGATAATTTAAAATCTAAATTGCAAAATATAATAATTAAATTAATTTTTTTATTTTTAAAATTTAAGTTTTTTAAAAATCTGAATATATTAAAGATATATAATAATAATTTAATAAATTTACTATAAATAAATTGAACCATTAAAAAAAAACAATTAAAATTAATATATTATTTCATTTTTAATATTTAAAATCTTGTATTTATAAAAATAAATAAATAAATATTTTTATAATTAATTTTTGCAATATATTAAAATTTTTAGAACAAATAAAATTAGTTTATAAAAAATAAATTAAATTTAAATTTATCATATATTCTTATAATAATATAATATTTATTAATTAATTTTTTATTAATTATATTATATTTGAATAATAATATTAATATATTTAATATATTATATATTATTAAAATTATTATTTATTATTATTATATTTTATTTTATTATCCTTTTATTTTTATTTATATTCTACTGTAAAAGTCAAGAATAAAATCCCTTTATTAGAAACTTTTAGGCATGAACAGGATAATTTTATGGTTGTAAAATTATTAATTACTTTATTTCAAGATCAAAAGGGTATCCTTAAATACATTTTCAACGTTACAACCTTTTTCAAATAAATAAATAAAATAAAAATACATAAGATATTATACATATATCTATATAAGGCTTAACCTTTTGAAAGACATATGCATAACTACATAGTAAATATAAACATAATAAAATAAATGGAAAAGAAATAGTAAATAAATCTCCTTGTGTACCAAATTAGTATAGTCATAACCCCTTGTCAATCACATATGGTAATATTATAATAAACATTATTAATAATACTATTTACCCTTGCAAAACCCATATAGTTTGGGTGATCAGTACCCCTGATGATCATGGCATGTATCCAAGTCATGTGGCAGGTTAAGGACCCAAATTGTTATATTCTTCCCTCCTTAAGATTTGATGTCCTTATCGATTCAAATTTCTTGACCAATTGTTGAGAATTTTTCAAGTTTTCCTCAGGTTCCCAGGTAGTGTCGTGTAATGGGTATTCCATCCATTTTATCAGATATTGTATTTTTCCTCGAATGATTTGCTTGTTCAAGATAGATTTAACTTCATATTCTGATTTATCAGATCCAGGTATAGTGACAGGTGGTGGTGGTACAGCACGTAAGAACTCATTTGGTAACTCCTTGTATGGCTTTAACATTGAAACATGGAAGATAGGATGTATCCTCATTGTTGTGGGCAGGTCTAATTTATATGCAGTTGGTAAGATGACAGCAGTGATGTTAAATAGTCCCAGAAATCTCGGTATAAGTTTCCTCATAGGTCGATTTTTATCCACAGGATTGTTAATGTTTTGTGCCAACAAGAGAACTTTATCCCCAATGTTGTAAGTGACATGGCGACAGTGTTTATTGGCATATAGACTTTGTCGATCCTAAGCTGTCATTAGAGCATCCTTTGCCATTTGAATTATGTTGTCCCAGTGTTGAGCGAGATCATTCATAGCAGGTGTGTTGATGACTTTTGTTGCAAGTGATACCAGTATGATGGAGTGTTGTTCACAGTCAAGCTTGAATAGTGTGTGTCCAGTAGATGGTGATTTCGAATTGTTGTATGCAAATTCAGCAGCAGGCAAGTATTCATCTCATTGATTTTGTTTATATGTGGTGTAGGCTTGTAGTATTTTCTCCAAGGTTCGGTTTATCCTTTCAGTTTGTCGATCAGTTTGTGGGTGGAAGGCAGTTGTCATCGCAAGTTTTGTTTCCAATTGTTCGAAGAGAGATCTCCAAAAATGATTGGTGAATTTAGCATTCCTATCTGATACAATTATTTTTGGCAGCCCATGATGACGAAAGATGTTGTTAAAGAATATTTTTGCAACTTCCAGTGCAGTGACAAAGGTATGTGTTGACCAGAAGACGGCTCTTTTGGATAGTCGATCCACAAAAACCACAATTGTATCAAACCTTTGACGCATTGTTGATAATTGCACGATGAAATCCATGGTAATTTGTTCCCATCTTCTTTGAGGTGTTTCCAATGGTTGTAGAAGTTCAGCTGGTTGTTGATTAGATCCTTTATTCCTTTGACAAGACTCATAGCTTGTTACAAATTTATAAATATCCTTGCCCATTTTTGGCCAATAGTAGTGCCTCCTCAATGATTCATAGGTTTTGTCAACTCCCAGGTGCCCAGCGATTTCGATGTCGTGGTGTTCCTGTAAGAGTTGTGTACGAAGCCTTTTGTCTTTTGGTATTGCTAGTCGTTGCCCTTCCTTGAGATATATCCAATTGTTTCTCAATTCATAGTGCTTTGCCCTGATTCGTTGTTTTTCATCATGTGATCCAGGATCCTTGAGAACATCCAAGATCAGTGCAAAGTATTTATCCTTGATGTATAATCTCTCTAAATCCTCCAGGTCAGCAGAAATATTGATAGTGGTAATGTTATTGATGGATGGAATCCTTTAAAGTGTATCAGCGACGACATTTGTTTTGTCCGGACGATATTTAACCTTAAAGTTGCTTGCTTGTAAAACCTCCAGCCAGCATGCTTGCCTTCTCGACAAGGTTGTTTGTGATTTGATATACTCCAGTGAAGCATGGTCGGTGATTACCCAGAATTTTTGTCCCTCCAAATATGTTCTCCAAAGTTTGATGGCATGCACAATTGCTAACAATTCCTTTTCATACACATGATAGTTTTGCTCAGCCGGTGATAGTTTCCTGGACTCGTAGGCAATTGGTTGTTCCCCTTTTCCATAATCCTGTGAGAGCACAGCTCCAATGGCAAAATCAGAGGCATCCGTGGTGATGGTAAAAGGTTTGGTGGGATCTGGCAAGATCAAAATTGGTGCAGAGATTAAAGTTGTTTCAAATTATCAAACGCGACTTGTTAAGCAGCATTCCAATGGTAAGTGGAATCCTTGTGCAGTAGTTGTGTGAGAGGTGAAGCAGTGGCAGAGAACTCTTTGACAAATTTCCTATAGTAACTGGTGAGATCCAAGAATGAGCGAAGTTCAGATACATTCTTTAGTGTTGGCCATTCCTTGATAGCATTTATTTTCCGTTGATCGACAGATATCCCTTCTCTAGAGATGTAGTGTCCCAGATATTCCACACATTCCTGAAACAATTCACACTTTGATAGTTTGGCATACAAATGGTATTCCCTCAAAATATTTAACACACGGTAGACATGTTGGTGATGTTCCTTCTTGGTTTTGCTGTAGATGAAAATGTTGTCCAAATATATAATCACAAATTTCCTGAAGATGTCATTCATTAGTGTCATGAAGATGGCAGGAGCATTGGTAAGCCCAAATGGCATAACCGAGAACTCATAATGCCCATAGCATGTTCTGAAAGCTGTTTTGTACACATCCTTCTCCTTGATCCTTATTTGATGGTAACCAGAGTAAAGATCAATTTTGGTGAAGTAGCAAGCCCCAACAAGATGATCCATCAACTCCTCAATCCTTGATAGAGGATATCTATTTTTGATGGTGATTTTGTTAAGTGCATGGTAGTCTACACAAAATCGCAATGTTCCATTCTTTTTGTGTACAAAAAGTACAGGTGCACCAAATGGTGAAACACTCGGACAGATGTATCCTTTTTGTAAAAGTTCATCAAGTTGTCGCTTCAGTTCATTGGTTTCCTCATAGGACAGGCAGTAAATAGGGTAAGATAGTGGTTCAGTTCCAGGCACAAGCTCAATAGCATGGTCAATTTTCCTTTTAGGTGGCAGTTTCTTCGGCAGGTCGGTGGGAAAGACATTGGCAAATTCCTTTAATAATTTTTGGGTGGCAGATGAGTGCGACGGTTGGTTACTTTCCTCAGCGTTGGCAACACAGACAGCAAACAATGCAGCAGTATCATGTACCCTGGCAAGTTGTTAATGTGAGATAAAGATAGAGTTATAGCCCAAATGTTGTGAAACAGTGGAGTCAGCTTTTACAACGATGGTTTTTGGTCCATATTGGAAGGTAAGCTTG